ACTTCACAGAATTAAAGTGTGGACATTTCTTGTTTCTTAATGAGTTGTTAAGTTGTAGAAGCAGAATAGGTGGCTACTGTAGTAATGACTTGAGCTCTCTTATTTTAGGTACTTCCGAAGAAGATGAGGTCTTTCAACCAGGTTTCATCAGCCCCAGGTTAGTCTGTTTTTTAAATGAAATGTTTTACTTAATCTAATGCCTTGAGAGAGCAATAGAGGCATATGAGAGGACATGACCAACCCTAAGGATTTTCCACTTGGGAAAGTTGGCATGATATCCAGAGTAGTCTTTAAAACTGCTCTTCCCAGCACAGTTGTGTGGGTGGCATGCTCTGCTCGCCCGCCTTCTGTTTGATAGTGTTTGGCCTTGGGATTTTTTTTCTCTCCAGTCTTGAGTAAGACAGATAACATACTTAAACATCTATGGAAACAAATCCCTTGCTTATTTATTTCTGTGATTCCTGATAGATGCTAACATTTCTTTTGAATTAAAGTTTAGATATGGTAGTGTTTTCAAATAATTCATTGTATGTAAAGTGGACTTTCTGAGGAAGTTTCATTTCATTAATCCAGGGAGCTTTCTTTCTTTATTTTGCTCTTCATGTGTAGCTACCAAAATCTGCTTATTTTCCTGTTGTAAATGGACTTGGTTGAAGTTAAACTCAGACTTAGATATGGAATTTTATTTTCTTTTATTATTGATTTTTGTCTGTAATACTCTTATTTGATAATATTATGTTACTCTGGCATTTTCCCTAATGTATAAAACCTGTCTGAGGTTAGTTGGTTTCTTTCCTTATCTTGTTTTTGAGAGAGGGTCTTGCTATGTGGCCCTGTGTGGCCTGAAACTTGGTTGGTAGACAAGGCTGACATGGACCACACAGAAATGTTCCTATCTCTGCTAGGAGTGTTGGGATTGAATGTGTGTGTGCCTGCACACCTGGCTCCGACTGAGTCTCAGATTAGCACCCCTTAAGAGTTGTGATACACAGATATATAATGATTCATAATAAAATTATATCTTATTATTAAGTTTACTATTAAGAATTGTATAACTAGAGAAAGAAATGATCAGCTGTTTAATGGAAAAGCCATAGCAATGCTGCCTTTTGGCAGATACTACTTTTGTGAAATAAAACTTAAACATGTTGATAATGCTCTAAGTTTCATGAAAAAGAACATTGTTAAAATTTGATACAAAATGTTAGTGTACCATTTTCTCTTCTTAACTTTCGATTGTGAGGCTTTTCTGGAGGTAAACTGGCATTTTTCTGTTTGGAAAAAATGTTCACACCGACGTGTTAAATGACTGCAATAAAGTTTCTTGTCTGCTTCCTCTTGATGAAACAGAGAGTTGGAGATGCGGTACTGCTTTCACCAAAGGGAGGTTGTTCTATAGGGTGGGCTTTCAACAGAAAGGCTTTGACTACCTAGGGGACCCTGGCATCATGCAGTTGGTGGGGAAAGTGAGTGATCAGAGGCTGCTGCTGGGTTGGTGGGGCGCCCCAGATTTTAGCTGGACGGTTTTGCTCCACTGCTCTCACTCTTCTCATCTTTCCCTCCCCACCTTTCTCCAACTTCCTATTTCTGTTATGCTAAGTAAACTCTCAGAGCAAATATGAAATAATCCAGAGAGCTAGACCACACTCTTTTCAGCTGATTATTTGTTTTTATGAGATGAGGTTTTGAATAATTAACCAGTAAATAATTTTAGCGGAGGGAGAATAAATACGTGTACTCTGCTTTTCATCTTACAGACTCAGGCATTTCTATTTACTATAAAATGGTCTTTGAATTATGAAGCATACATATACAAGTAATATATGTGGAAAATAGTGCCTATCATTTTTTTCAAATTAAAGTTCTTTTGTGCTATTCTGAATAGTTATGGAAAGCTTAGTTATTACTACAGGATTATCCACAAAGTTACCATCTTAACTAACATATTTCAAGAAAATATTGAACATAACTTATGTTCAATATGTGAGAAAAGCAATACTCCATTTTTATTTCTTTTTACTGCAAGATAAAAATGTTACTGTAATGAAATTTTGCTAGTTTTTCAAAACATTTTACAAAATGGTAGCTTTAAAATAATGCCATTTATGAATTTTGTTGTTTCAAATTTTGTTTTACTGCAAAAGTACCTGACACCCCCCCCCAAAAAAAAAACCCTTTACAAATACCTTGTTTGTGAAACATAAAAGTGATTTAAACGAAAAACTTAAGATTTATGGTATAACAAGTTCTTCTGTTTCTACAATAGTCTCTGAGCAATATAGTTAAAAAGGTATTTAAGAAAAATTTTAAGAGATTTTTGACAGTTGTGAATAACTCTAAAAAGAAAAATTGCTTGAAGTCAGGGCATTTTTGTCTCCCGGTTTAGAAAAAAACGAAACAAAACAAAAACAAAAAATTGTACGAGATCGGAATTTTGCTTTTGGAAACGAAAACAAACGCCCTCAGATACTGGGGTACCTCTGCGGACATACTCTGTCGGGGGCTTCCTTCCTCTGACACCCCGTTTTAATCCACTGGCGTTACTCGCAGCACCTCGCTGAAACACGGGGAGTGGGTGGAATTGGATCGGTTTTCCAAGACAGGCAGGTCAATAGCCTTTACCCAAACTACACGGGAAAGATTACGCAGGGACTGATGGGGTCCCCATATCTACAGGCCTTGAGTCCCCTCCCGACCTCCGCTTTCCAGATCCTCCTGAGAAAGGAGCTGCGGACGGACGTGTTTGCTGCTTGCCAGCTCCAACTGCAGCCTCCAGTTTGCTCATTTTAAGCATGGCGGGTGGGGGCAGGGGCGGGGACAGTCAGTGACTTCACGAGTTTCTCTTGAGTCTGGACCTTGCTTAGATGTAGAATATTCTGGCATCTCATAGGTGCAATTATCAAAGATACATTCATAAATTAAGTAAAAAGTCTGTATTGGGTGAAGTCCTAGTGGTGAAGATAAGGATTTTGTTTGTTTGTTTTGAAGAGCAAGATGACACGTGTTTTAAAGTGCCTTAGACATCAACTGCCTTCTGTGAAGTGACTAGGTTTCTAGAGGGAAGGTGGTGGAATGAGGCATAAAGGGTAGAGGGGTAGGACACAGAAAGATGAGGAAGTTGCTGGAAGAAAAAGGAAGGAAAGGGCAGATGTGCTGGCCCTGGAGTTGGGCTTGGGAACCCCGGGGGCAGGAGCAGCACAGGAAGGTGCTAGCTGCTGAGACAGAGTTAGGGCTGGAGACGCTCCTTACTTAAAGAGGACAAGACAGGTCCAGCTGTGCCACAGCCCCTCATCATTTTCACAACATCCAAAGCATTGTTTATGCTTTAGTAGAAGGCACACAGTCTAACAGTGTTTAACAATCTAACAGTGAGCAAGGATGGAGGTCCGAGCGTTATGTTGGGGAGTGGTTCAGATGAGAAAATGTGTACCACCTTTAAAAACTGGGAAAGCTAAGTGTGATAACCAAAGGACATGCGACAGATTGCTTTCATCTCCTCCGTCCTGTATTGAGCTGAGGAGTCCACGTAGGACTTGAGCTAATTTTAAAGACATTTTGGAAGAGCTGTGATAAATCAAGTTGTGAAACATTTGGCTTTTGAAGGCTTAAAACATGCATTTTAGTCAAACGCAGGTCTTTCTGGCATTAAAAACAAGTAGGAAATGAGAAAAAAATTAAAACCAGAAGACTTGAGAAGGTGACAAATTGAAAAGCATTGTAGGAGACTCCTAAGAAGCATTTTATATGAAAGAAGCACTCTGAGCCTTAAGAGCTTATAGTCAGTTTATAAAAAGGCTCAAAAGATTTGGGGAAGGGGCAGACAAGAATAATCTACTTAAAAGACAGTGCCATAGTTCTGAGTTGATGAGATTGTGTGTCTCCTTTTCTCTCCCTTTTCAACTTCCTTCCTGTTTCTTTCTAGCCTTCTCTTACCTCTCTTTCCCTCTCTTTTCTCTACCCCAAGGTATGTAAATGGTTTTTGCCTTAAATTCTTTGTGAATGAATTTTAGAAGTTTTCTCAGGGTTCCTAGTTGGAAAAGCCTTCTATAGAACTTGAAAGGCTGATGTCCCGCTCAGGAAATGAATGAATTGATAACCTCTGACACCAGTGACCAGTCTGGTGAACCCTACTTTAATGCTTTGAATACTGGAGGCCCCTAATCAGGCACAACTGTGAATCCCAGAACTGTACCATCCAATGTGGTTCAGCAGTGGTGTTTCTACTTTACATATACTGTCAATATATCTGAAATTTGTCAAATTTAAGAAGACAAGGACTCAGAATCCACTTATATATTGTTGTTTGAGTTACTAGTAAACTCTTAAAAATACAAAACAAATTTGTAGATAAAATGTAACCCACCATAAACAACCCAAAATTTACAAGCCTGTTAATTTTATGATACTTTTGCATAAATAATAGCATTATCCCAATTTACATGAATACTTTTTAAAGTTATTAGATATAAGAGTTTTAAAAATGTAATTCTTTAAATTACAAAAAATAACATTCAGAAATATAATATATATATTGTAACAAGTATGGTAGTAATCCATTTCTGTCATTAAAATACTGTTTAGTAAATGCTTTGTTAGCAAACAACCTCTTCAGAATGTGGGACTTGTTAACTTGGAAAATCGTTTGGATTTTTAGGTTTTTTTTTCTCTCCACCAGCTGGTACATTGTTATCCTTCTCAAAATAAATAAAAGCTTGCCTCCTTCCTGAGAACAACAAAAGAAAGAAACTGACAAAAAAAAATCTTTCCTAATTGATCAGTTTTGATTGACACCACTTATCACAAACAGCTGAAAATAATTTCTTTATGCACTGATTATTTTCGGATCTGAGCCAATTAGTTTAAATTTATTTTAGCTTTTCAGTATGAGAAGGGGTGTTAATAGGTGTATGTGGATTTTTCATAATCCCAACATTTTAATTTGTGTGAAGCACTGTTAGAATGTGGGCTTGCTTGGAGAGATGGGGTGAGGGGGCGCGAGCATGGTGGGGGAGGGTCAGCGGGTAGCTTTGAAGAAGGGAAGTGGTATCTACAGTTTTTCTGTAAACTGCTTGTTTAAGAAAATGGGGGATGGGGCAGCAAAAGACTGGTGGAAGCCTTATAATGTTTCAAAGCAGGTAATATTTTATATTTTAAAAAAGATGTATTACAATCTATTCAACGATAACTGGCTTTATTGCACTTAACGTTTGCAAACTTTATTCATGACCCTTTTTCTTTCCTTTTTTTTTTTAACTCTTTCACTTTTCTCCACCTTTCTTTGTGTTTGTGTTCTATGGTACAAAATCTGACATGTAAGGATTCCCAAGCCTCCGCTGTCACTACGGTTTGACCTGCTGAAGGGCCTCCAGGAGTCCCCAGAGTACATGGGAGACACTGGGTCAAGAGACTCCTGGCTAGTTTGAAGAGTTTCCATGGCAGTGGTCCTGGAACTGCTTAGCTCTTACCAAGGGAGTGGCTGCGTAGTGTGAGAGCATGCAGTGATGATGTTATTTTTATGGTGTCTATTTTAGCTTGGGTTTTAATTTTTCCCATTGCCTGCAATAATAGGAACAGAATATGCAGAGACCTGCTACTGCTCCTCGAAGAACTGCGTCCTGAGGTTTCGAGACTGAGTAAAGCCTCCCTCTTAGGTGAGAATTTGAGCTGCTTCCCACATCCTTGGCTGTGTTATTCCCAGATCACAGAGTCCCCCCAAAACCAACCAGGAGACCGAGCCCTGTATATAAAAGCAAAGAGCCTTTCTTACACAAGTTTGCAAACTCGGTCTCTCCGTGTGTCCAATGTATTACAGTGATCAGTTAGAGTTGGGTTTTTATAAG